TCCTGGAGCTGGATTATCTTTCTTATCCTTCTCTGGCCTTTTCTTATTGTATCATATTAATTTTTTTAAATTATAAGCAATGCATGCAGGATTTGATATGTGGGTGCTCTCTGTGCATTTAAAAAGTTGCTTGCTTATGGGTTTTGGTTCTCTCTTCCTTCCCTAGTAACTGCTAACGCTGTGCTTGCCTTGATAGCTTTTGAGCTCCCAGCTAGTTTAAAACAAAACAAAAAACCCCAAAAAAACCTGTCCATTATGATTTCAGTATCACTTTCCTGAGAGGCAGGGGCTAATCTAGGGCCCTTTCTGGTTTTCTTCTGTAAATTAGCACACACTTACTGAAACCGCACTTCGTCTTACACCGTTTTATTTCCTAGGCAGTTGTCACTGTGAAATCCTTGCAGTGGTTTCAGATCTGGATGCTGCTGCTTTACATGCACTTGATCCTCCCAGTGCTCTGGCAGCCTTGCTGTTCTGTGATATCAGTGGTGTCCTTAGCAAGCTGGTCCTCAAAGCTGACTTGTTTCACAGTCAATTTATCACTTACATGACTACTACTTTAAAGATCTTTTTTTTGTGTGTGTTTATTTTGTAGTCTGCTCTGCTCTTCAACCTTTCCATTTGCTGTTCTTGGTGGACAGCAGCAGAGCAGTAAGAATAAACATGCAGCATTTGGACAGTCTGTGTCATGTGCTCCTCTGGCTGCTGCTTTTCGGCACTTTTTTAAAAATGTGTTTCCCCCCTTTTCTGAAGCTGAATAGTTGTGTGCTGAAAGAATAGAGCTTAAAATCCTCCAAAAATGCTGAATGGAATACACTACGATCAATATCAGAAGATTGTGTTGTAATTTGGTCCTGTGCACTGTTCAGATTAAATCCTATTGTGTGATTTCCAGCTGATTTGGGGGTCATTTATCTCGTTTTGAGGCTTGATGTCTCAAGCCATGACTGGTGAACATTAGGTGGGAGAACTAGTCTCCCTCTAACATTATTTTCTACTTTTGTAGTAATACAGTAAATCCAGTGCAGGCACTACACTAGTGCACCTGGGTGAATTGTCAAAGGCAGGAGCTGGGGTACTGCTGCAAAGATTCCCTCTGCTCGCAGTATCTCCTTGCAGCTCTAGCAAACACTTCACTCCCTTCGAGCTCTTCCTGGACAGTGGCAGTGGGAAGTACTGCGTCACTGGCCAGCGGTACGTGCTCCAGGAATGCTTTCAAAAGCCTAGATAGTTCCGAAGATCATTCAGGCAATATTGTTGATACTGCCTTCTACAGAAACTCCCTTCTGTCATCTATCCAAAGTACAGCAGCTACAAACTACCTTGTTTTATGCTTGGCCCAAAGAAAACTGGTGATTCAGCACTGAGGCAGGTGTGCTCCTCTCAGTGTTGTGAAGCTGCTGGAATGAGATGTCTGCAAGTCTTCCAGAAAACCCCAACTTCAGACGCTGTTGCAGGATTTCTGTATCATTGGGCCCCAGGTGTTTGTCTGCAAAGCACTTCAGAACAGAACCTCTGGTTGTGTTCATCCCCTGAGGTACTGGGTATCTTGCCGTATGTGACATCACGGTTAACGTTAGCTTTTGTCTTATGATGAGTTTCAGAATACATTTCTCAGAAAAGAGCTTTTTGAACTTTTTTTCCTCTTTTTCCACAGGCTGATGAAGACCCGATCATGGGATTCCACCAGATATTTCTATTAAAGAACATCAACGATGCCTGGGTTTGCACCAATGACATGTTCAGGCTAGCATTGCACAACTTTGGCTGAGCTGGCAACCCCGAGGCACCTGTGCTTTTTGGTTTTGGTTTTTTTTTTGTTTTTTTTTTTTCTTTTTGGGTTTTTTTTTTCCTCCTCTCCTCTTACTGGTATTATTCACACTCACGGAACATTCCAAATATCATACACAAACCTGCAGCACTGCAGAGCGTGAGCAAGCAAGACTTGTGACCTGCCCTTCTGCTGAGTTTACATTGTCACTAGATGAGTTTCTTGTGCATGATGTTTGGAAGTTAGACTTTAACTGCATTTGACAAGAGAAATTTGTGTTGTACCAGCATGCCTCGGAAAGAATTTATAATACAAAAGGTTGTTGTTTATGTACTGACAAGATGCTCTATAACCCAAAGAGATGAAAGAACAGCAGCCTGTACAGCCCAGATATTGATTTGTTCAGATGTTTCAATGCTACATTACACAATAAAACCATGAGATTTTCTTAACAGTTTAAATTGTTTTAATGAGTTGGATATGGAGTATGTAGTATGCTTGCTTTAGATATCGCCTGTCCTCCTGCTTGGGAAATGTTTCCAAACCTGAAGAGCAGTTTTTTTACCAATGAAGGCAGCTCAGGTATGCCCTTGACCATACAACTTCTTTTTCCCTCCCTCACAGCAGCTTTTATAACAGAGGCTTCTTGCTCAGTTTTTAACATCGCCAGGTTAGCTCCCAGCTGTTGAATTTACCAAGGCAAAAGTCTAAAATAACACACAAGGATGACAACAGGCGTGGTAGCCTGTACTTAATCTTCATGACATCTGTTCTGTTCACCCTCAGAGATAACCAGGATGCTGTATTTTCTTTATAGGCAGACACACAGGCTGTGAATCCTGGAGTTTGTATCCAGCCCTGAAGCCCTGGCTGGATTCCTGCTCTGTGTTGTCTATCTAGTATCTCTTTGTTATAATGAGAGGTGGCTGGTGGAACTGCATTTGCTGTGCAGGTTTTTACAGCATCGTTGGGTCTCATGTGTCCTCCGCCCTGGAGGTGGCGGTGCTCCACCAGTGAAGGTATTTATTAAGTGGAATCTTTACAGCATTTGAGGTGGCAGAGGAACACAATCGCATTCGCTTTACCTTCAGACCTCACTAAGCCATGAGGCCCCAGTTTTCAAGAGGCTAGTGTGCCTGGCTGAGCTTGCTTTCGAAGGGCATGAACTTGGCATTTGCCTTTTTGAGACTTGTCAGGAAAGGCTGGGATGGGGCGTGCTCAGGCTGGTCAGTTCTCCAACCTGCCTGCTTTGGCATTTGAACTGGAACGGAGCTTACTTGAACACAGATGTTAGAGTCCTCCTGTTTGGTATTGCAGCGTTTTCATATATTCCCTGCTTCAAATGCAGGCCTGTTCTGGCGCTGCTTCTGGGCTGGAAACTAATTACTTGAAGAGATTAGCTCTTCTAGTAGAAAGAAGCATTTTGTGTGGTCACTGCTAAGCAAGGATCCTTCTGTTGTCGCTCCAGGTCTAAGTGGAGCCTGGCAGAGGAGAGGGAATCTAAGAATAGGTCTGGCTTATGACCCTTGCCCTGTGGAAGGATATGGTCCGTGAGGTCAGGGTAGTCCTGTGAATAATGAGCTCAGCAAGCCACGAGGGACCTTGCTTAAGAGTCGGTTCAATGAATGATAACATGTGGCAGGTGTTAGTGTAAGAACTATCTAAAATGAGATTCTTTTAGGCCATTAAAAGTTCAAAGCAGTTATCTGCTGGAATTGGTTGTGTGGATCTTTCTGGGGCTCTTTTTGCTGCCTTTGTCCACACATTCACTCCTGGTTCCTTACCTGGAAGAGACAAACACGGATGTTTGTAGATCAATGTTGCACAGCCTCGAACCCCTCCAGGGATGGGGCATCCACAGCTGCTCTGGGCACCCTGGGCCACTGCCTCACCCCCCGCACAGGAAAACATTTCTTCCTCACATCTCATCTCAATGTAGCCTTCAGCTTCAACCCGTTCCCCTCGTCCTGTCCCTGCACCCCCTGATAGATTTTTCCCCCCAAGCAGCCCGGTCTAACCCTGGAGGGACGCTCCGGGCACCCCTCACGGCGCTGCCGCGGCGGGAGATCGCACAGCCCGCAACCCCGGGGGCTGCTGCGGGTC